GTTACTATATGTATGAGAAAAGGAATCTGGACTGATAATACATCAAACTGTTAACTGTAGTAGTCTTAGTTAAAGTGGAGTGGTAAGAGGAAGTATGATTCTGGACTTTCATCTTCAAAGGATGGCAAAACTTTTTTTTTTACTTCATACAAGGAATATACAAAGATTTAAAAAAATGTTTTCATTGATTTCAGGGAGGAAGGGAGAGAGAGAAAGAGACAGAAACAATGATGAGATGATGAGAGAATCATTGTTGATCAGCTGCCTCTTGCACCCCCCCTCCCCCCTCCCTTCGGGGATCAAGCGGACAAACCAGGCATCTTCCCTGCCGGGGAAACAAACTCTGACCTCCATGCTCATCCACTGATCACACTGGCTGGGCTATTCAGAGTTTTTTAAAACTTATTTATATTGGATTATAGGACAGTTTTATTTGCCCCAGGTCGAAGGTAGTGGATGTTCTGTGAAAGTGATACCTCTTTGTAAAGTGCATTAAGATGAGCAGATAAAAGATGCTATCTTGTGCAAACCTTCTTAGCAGTTGTTCTCCTTGGGCCAGCAATGGTGTTAATGTTTTTGTCGGTTAATACTGAAAAGTTTCTCTGCAAGAATTTATTGATTAAAGAAGATAATATTATTTACTGAACTTTTTGGGTAATGTTATTGAGCTATATTTTACACGCCATGTAATCCACTCATTAAAGTATACAATTCAGTGGTTGTTGGTAATATTCACAGTCAATTTTGATAATATTTACAACGATCATCGATTTAAAACCATTTTTATTACCTCAAAAAGAAATCCGGTACCGTTTATCATCCCTTACATTACCTCCAACCTCCAAGCAACCTATTAATCTATTTTCTCTTTTTTTATTCTGGACTTTTAAAATGAATGGAATCATTACAGTATGTGGTCTTGTGTGACTGGCTTTTTTCTCTTAGCATAATGTTTTCGGGGTTAATCAGTGTTGTTGCATATATCAGAGCTTTATTCCTTTTATGGCTGAATAATATTCTAGTTCAAGGCTATATCACATTTTGTTTATTCATTTGTCAGGTAATGGACTTTTGGGTTGTTTCCATCTTTTGGCTATTATGATTAATGTTGCTATAAACATTCTTGTACAGATGTCTTTGTGGACATATGTATTTACTTGTTAAACTAATGAATTAACCACCTGAAAAGAAGCTCATCACTGATTAGTAAATACTCTTAAAAATCTAGTCACAGGTGTACCTCATTTTGTGCTTTGCTTTATTGCACTTCACAGATGTGTGTTTTTTATAAATTGGAGGCAAGTCCCTCCACCAGCATAAAGCTTACGACTTGTTTTTTTTTGCGATACTCAGTTTGTTGCGATGGTCTGGAACTGAACACACAGTATCTCTGAGGCATGCCTGTATTTGGTTATGGGGTTTTTTGTTTGCTTGGGTGGGTGACAATAATGTTCTAACAATGATTGTGGTGATGGTTGCACAACTCTATAAATATCCTAAAAGTTATTACAGTGTACAGATTTTAAATGGGTGAATTATATGGTGTGTGAATTATATCTCAATAAAACTGTTGTAAAAAAGGAATAATTTAAAAATTTGAGCAGAAGGAAAAAAACAGTCATTGATAAGCAAAATTTGATATCAATAGTTGTGGTGTACTTGGAAGAAAATTGCATTTTAAAACTGTCATGATAGCTCTTAACTCATATATTGAAGACTTGGTTTATTTTTTATTGGAAAGTTAGTCTATGCTCATTATTCCACTTTCCAGAAATAATTTGCTGTTAATATTTTGCTGTATATGCTTTTAGACTCGTTTTGTATAAGTACAAGGTGGGGCAGAGGTTTACAGTTCATATGGAAAATAATAAAATAGTTATTTTATAAATAATAATTCAAGATTAAACTGCGTTTTGCATACTCACAACTATAAACCTACTTTTGCCCAACCCTGTATATACAACATGTTATTTTTTTCAGAGAAAATGAAATTCGATTAGGGATACTGTTTTGCACCTTTTTAATTCAATCCAATTTACTTTTTTTACCTAAAAAAAGAAAAAGCAGTATCAGGCCTCCATAGAAGAATGGGTCATTATGATTTCTGCAGTCATCTGTTACCAATGAACATAAATAGCAACCATATTCAACTGTTAGGGAAAGCTGACTTTTCTAACTGAATAAGATTTGACCAATTTAGAAAACAAAATCTTGCTTATATATAAAACCTTCCTGTACATTTTTCAGCCATTTCCTATAAATCTACAGCTATTTCAAACTGAAATTTAAAAATATATTGCTTTTATTAGGAAGATACCAACTTTCAGAAATTGAGGTAGCAAGAACCAATTTGTTAAGAAAAGACAAAACCAAGCAAAACTACTCTTCAAGAGAAAAAGGGAATCTCCCAACTTCTCTTTTTCTTTCTTTCAAACAACCTTGGGGATCGAGCCCACAACCTGGGCATGTGCCCTTGATCAGAATCGAACCTGGGACCCTTCAGTCCACAGGCTGACACTCTGTCCACTGAGGTAAACCAGCTAGGTCTGGGTGCTGGTTTAAATAGCCCTTCACTCTCAGCTCTTTTCCATTTTTGCCTTTAAATATGCATAATACACTTTGGGAACTCAGATAACCTGGACTTGTTAGAATTATTTGCAAATGAGAAGTAGTAGGTATGTTAGGCGAGAAATTTGGGGCATAAGAGCTTTAGACTTTGGATTTTAAGGTTTTAGATTTCAGGTTTGTTTCTTTCAGGATTCATATTATGAGAGTTGGTGGGTCCTCTAATCATTTGTAATTTCTATATTACAGTCAGATAATGGGATGAATCCATCAGAAATTTCAGGCCTGTTATTATTTGTAACTTTATTTACTAATCTGCGTGATGTTATTTTCACTTGCTATAGACTAGTGATAATGGTTATTTCAAAAAATGTTCTTATTTTGGCTGGAATAAATTTGCATGCAAAAGCCAGGGAAAGTAAAAACTAGAGTTAGATAATAAACTTTATATTTATCTTAAACATGAAAAAGTTGTAGAAGCTAAATGGATATGTTTGGATTCATAAGAGACTGTAGTTTATGACCAGGGCCAGGAGTCGAGCCTGCTGAGGTATGTGCCTTGCCCTTGAGCAGAATTGCACCTGGGACCCTTCAGTCTGCGGGCCCACATGCTATCCCTTGAGCCAAACCGACTAGGGCTAATGTTACATTCTTCCTGAAAATTGAAAGTGGCTATTCATAATGTTAAGGATATTATCTCCTTATGAATATAGCTGCTTTTTTTTTTTTTTTTTTTTTTAAAGCTTACAGCACCTGGTATTCAAATATGACATTTTAATTGTATGAATGGCAAACTAATTACTTGGTATATTAGTTGACAAGTTTATTAGGGATCACGTCAACATAACTGGAAGTTCCTATAATATGTTTCCTGTTTTTGGCAAACTTTGGAAAAATTAGGTTTCAGGTTGCATAACACTTGCTTATGATATTGCTTTTTATTTCCAGTAAATATGTTCCATTCTTTATTTTCACTGAAGAAAAGTAACACTGACATTTGTGAAGAGAGTTGTTGAGCTTGGTTTATTGATAGTCTTTTACTTCACCTATAACATTGATATTTCTAATGTTTTCTTTGCTATGACTAGCTAACTTAGCATTTATTGGATTAAATAACTAAAGGTTTTGTAGGATTGTGTAGTGGTCTGGTTCTCTTAATTTCCCATTAGTTGAGGACTAGCTAATAGACTGTTAATGCTCTTTTTAAAATTTTATCTACTTTCTCACTTCTCAAATTGCTTAAGTTTACTGAAAGACTCATATTAGCAATTATAAAGTAGCTTGTATTCAATGCTTATATGATTAGTAATATGCTGACTTGACTAAGATGTCAAGATTTAGTAATTTTAAAAGTACAGACTTTTGAGTTAAATTAGTGATTTTCAACCTTTTTATCTGATGGCACACATAAACTACTAAAATTCTGCAGCACACCAAAAAATATATTTTTTGTGGATCTGCCAAAAAATAGGTGTAATTTTGATTCATTCACACTGGACAGCTTTTGTTGTGTTGGCTGTTGTCATTTTTTTAAATTTTATTTGATGATATAAGGGAAAAGAGGTCAGTTCTCCTGACTAAATAGTCAAGTATTGTATGTTTTAGAAATTCTTGCAGTACACTGATTGAAAATCGCTGTGTTAAATAATTAGGGATCCCTTAATGCCTATTCAAGGAATTGAATTTTGGTATTTAGTAATGTATTTAAAGAGGTCCATGGTTATCTTTTCTAAATTATACTACATATTATTCCTTAAAATTTCAGACTTAGTTTCATTGATATACCCTTATGAGTGATTATAGAATGCATATATACATGATTGCATCTATGTACATAAAAGCCTAAGCAACCAGATGACTGAATGACGGGTCGACTGGTCGCTATGACGTGCACTGACCACCAGGGGGCAGACACTCAATGCAGGAGCTGCCCCCTGGTGATCAGTGCACTCCCACAGCAGGAGCACTGCTCAGTGAGGTTACTGAGCAGCAGCAGCAGCAGGTGCAGTGGTGCTGGGATGAGTGGGAGCAGCGTGGCCCAGCCTGGGCTTGGGCTCCTCCCTGGCCGCCTGCCGCTTCACACACTACAACATCCCTTGGGGGATGTCGGACTGCTGGTTTTGGCCTGATTTCCGCAGGCCTGCGGCAGTCCGACATCCTGTGAGGGATCCTGGATTGGGAGAGCGTGCAGGCCAGGCTGAGGGACCCCACGGGTGCACGAATCCATGCACTGGGTCTCTAGTATGTAATAAATATAAACTTTATGAAACCTTACAATATCCATTTGATACAGTTTAAAATCTTACAGTGAGCAACAATGGTTACATTTAGGAAAGATAGCTTACCTGACTGTTAGAATTGCATATTTGTTAATATTATTTTGATCTCTCTCTCTCTTTTTTTTTAATTAAACTAAAAATCTTTTTAAATTGTAGGGGGAAAAAAATAGTGGCTTTGATGTTCTTTACCATAATATGAAACATGGACAGATATCGACAAAAGAGCTAGCAGATTTTGTAAGAGAAAGGTATGTATTTTTTCATGTCATTTAACAATTTATTACAAGTTAAATTTTAGAATATAAATGAGAAAATTTTGATTGTATTCAAGTACAGTTGTTAAAAGTATACTATAGTTATACTTTTAAGTAATGGTTATCTGTGATCTACACACTGAGGGCTAAATAGTGGCTCTAATTTGCATTGTTAAACTGATTTATATATCACTGCCTGAAAATATTTTTCATTGAATGTGCTAGCAAGGTGATACAATAGAAAAATTGAGGAACTTTGAAGAATAAAATATTACAATTTCTTTAAATAAACATGTCAGTAAAGAAAACATACTAAAATAATTTGAAAAGACTACGTTTTCTGAACTTGTAGTTAAGGGATGGGGAATGTTCAGCCTGCGGGCTGTATAAGGCTTGCGAAATCATTTGGTGTGGCCCTGCCAAAGCATTAGGATGAGTTAATTAAATGTTTGACCAAATATAGCAGGCACATTTTTAAGTTGATAGTTTGGCCTGCGAATGGTGTTATAAATATCCAAATGGCCCTTGGCAGAAAAAAGGTTCCCCACTTCTGTTGTAGTTTAATTATTATTATAACTTTTATTTTTAAAGAGGCCCTAAGTATGTATTTTTAAATTCTGCAAAATTACAAAATATGATTACCTTTAAGACTTTATAATATACTAGTTAATTTAGAAACTATTAAAAATCATTATAATTTTATTTGATTAAAGTTGTTTTGTAGTTGGGCTCACTTGATGATTTTTATATGAATACATTTAAAGTCTTTACCTTGATTATAGAGGGATATATGCCTTTAGATACAATACTTCATTTATTCTTTCAACAATATATATCTAATGTCTGCTGTGTGTCAGACCCTTCTTTGGATTCTGGGTGTATAGCGGTAAAGATACAACTTCTGTCTTCATACAGTTAACCGAAAATGGAGAACAAACTTTTTATGTAACACCAGTTCTCTTACGGCTTCCACCTACTGGAGTTAAGAGGGAGCCCAAAAGCTCTAAATACTATGGATAAAGCTATCCCTCTCTGGCTTCTATGTCATCATTGGCATGTGTAAAGGAGAGGCCCCAGAACTCTGCATCTCTGACATGTCCCCTAGCCTGCCTTTTGCACCAACACTTGCATCACTACTATAACTACCTTGATACCATTAGGCAGTAGTCATGCCTTTTAACCCTGTTTATATCAGTAACCATAAGAAGTCCAGGACTCCTGGGCCATCTCTTTGCCTAGAATCTAATCCCTTTATGATTCTGTGAGCAGTGAGACAACCCCTCCTTCCACGCCCCCTTCCCTGCTTTATTTTTCTTCATAAAACTTAAGCCATCTAATAGAAGCAACATTTTACTTATTTATTTGTCTATCTTAGAATATAAATCTCATAAGAGTAGGGTTTTTTTTTGTGTGTTGTTTTTGCTTATTACTCTATTTCCTGCGCTTGGGGGAGTGCTTGCCTCTTTAGTAGGCCCTCAATAAATACATTTTTAAAAAATAATTTTCATTTTTCAATTACAGTTGATACACATTATTATATTAGCCTGGTCTGCACCCCAGTGATTAAACATTACATAACTCACTAAGTGATCACCCTGATAAATCTCACACCCATTTGACACCATGCATAGTTATTATATTATTACCTATATTCTGTGTGCTGTATTATACATTTCTATGACTATTCTGTAACAACCCATTCCCTCAACCCCTTCCATCTGGCAGCCATCAAAATGTTCTATGTATCTATGAGTCTGTTTCTCTTCTGCTTGTTCATTTATTTTATTTTATTTTATTGTTTAAAATATATTTTTATTGATTTTAGAGAGGAAGGGAGTGGGAGAGAGGGATAGAAACATCAATGATGAGAGAGAATCATTGATCAGCTGCCTCTTGCAAGCTCCATACTGGGGATCGAGCCCACAACTCGAGCATGTGCCCTGACCGGGAATCGAACCTCTTGGCTCATAGGTCAGTGCTCAACCACTGAGCCATGCTGGCTTTCATCACTTTGAGAATTTCTTGCCACTCCCTTCTGGCCTACAAAATTTGTGTTGAGAAATCAGCTGACAGTCTATGGGAGCTACTTTGTAGGTAACTAACTGCTCTTCTCTTGCTGCTTTTAAAATTCTCTCTTTGTCTTTAACCGTTTGCATTTTAATTTTGATGTGACGTGGTATGTGCCTCTTTGGTTTCATCTTGTTTGGGCCTCTGTGCTTCCTGACTTGTATGTCTGTTTCCTTCACCAGGTTAGGGAAGTTTTCTGTCATTATTTTTTCAAATAGGTTTTCAATTTCTCGCTCGTTCTCTTATCCTTCTGGCACCTGCATGATGTGAATTTTGGTTGGTACGCTTGTAATTGTCCCAGAGGTTTCCTACACTGTCTTCATTTTTTTGGATTCTTTTTTCTTTTTCACTGTTCTGATTGGGTGTTTTTGCTTCCTTATGATTCAGATCACTATTTGATTCTTGGCTTCATCTACTCTAATGTTGATTCCCTGTAAATTATTCTTCATTTCAGTTAGTGTATCCTTCATTTCTATTTTTTAAAAATAATAATTATTTTTCTTTATTTATTTTTAGGGAGAGAGAAAAAAATATAGATGTGAGGAGAAACATTGATTGGTTGCCATACTCATGTGCCCCACCTGGGGGATTGAACCTGCAACCTGGGTATGTGCCCTGACCGGGAATTGAACCTGCCACCTTTTGGTGTATGGGGTGATGCTCCAACTAACTGAGCACACCGACCAGGACAGTGTATCCTTCATTTCTGACTGTTCCTTTTTATGCTGTTGAAACTCTCACTAAGTTCATTGCGCATCCTTATAACCAATGTTTTGAACTCTTCATCTAGGACCGTGGTCAGCAAACTCCGGCTCGCGAGCCACATGTGGCTCTTTGGCCCCTTGAGTGTGTCTTCCTAAGCCTTAGGATTACCCTAATTAAGTTAATAACAATGTACCTACCTATATAGTTTAAGTTTAAAAAATTTGGCTCTCAAAAGAAATTTCAATCATTGTACTGTTGATATTTGGCTCTGTTGACTAATGAGTTTGCCGACCACTGATCTAGGAGATTGCTTATTTCCATTTTGTTTAGTTATTTTCTGGAGTTCTGTTCTGCTCTTTCATTTGGGACATGTTTGTCTCCTAATTTTGGAAGCCTCCCTGTGTTTGCTTCGATGTATTAGATAGAGCTGCTATATCTCCCAGATATGGTAGAGTGGCCTAATGTAGTAGGTGTTCTGTAGGGCCCCGTGACACAGCCTCCCTGTCACCCAAGCTGGGCACTTGAGGTGCACTTCCCTCCCTATGTGGGCTGTTTACACCCTACTCTTGTAGTTGAGCCTTGATTGCTGTTGGCACATCAGTGAGAGGGATTTACCCCCAGGCAGGTCAGCTGTAAGGATTGGAGCTGTGCAGGTGCCCACCCCACAGAGCAGGATTTACTTCAGTGGGGCTCTGGCGCTCATTGAATCTGCCCCTTGAGTGTGTCACCTGTGGATATGGTTGGGTGGTGATGGGTTTCGATGTGGTCTGAGGCTGTCCACTGGGTGGGCTGGCTCTGGAGCCTTCTTGGAGGTACAGGCCAAGGTCAGCCGCTGCCTTTTATTCTGCCCGGTGCCACCCCACATGAGTAACAAAGTAATATGCAGATAGCTGCTATGTGCTGGCCTTGGAGGTGTCCAGGTGAGGCCAAGATTCGAACCAAGGTCCATTCCACCCCTTTTGCCAGTCTCTAAATCCCTAGTTGTAGGACTTTCCTTCAGTCAGATTTCAGGTGGTTCTGAATGATGGTTTTTCTGTTGTTTACTTTAATTTTGCTGTGGTTGTGGGAGGAGGTGAGTACTGCATTTACCTACCCGTCATCTTGACCGGAAGTCCAGTAAACATTTTTTGATAGAACGAACCTGTAACTTCATTATCCTAATCCAAGATGATATTATAATCTAATCCATTGTTGTTGCCTGAACTGCAGTGATAGCCTCTGACTGGTCTATCTACATTCATTCTTGTTATCCTGCAATTTATTCTCTGCACTATAATTGGAGTACTTTTTAAAAACTACAGATCAGTTTGTTACTTCTCCAGTTTAAACCATTTCAAAGGCTTCCTGTTGCTCTTAAGGTACGCCTGCATAGTCTGACCTGAAACTGCTTTTCAGATTTTAGGTTACACCAGTCTACTCTTTCCTCTCCAGGGACATTGGCCATATTATTGACAGGCTTCTTCTAGTCCAGGCTTTGTACATGCTTATTCCTGTTTCCACTTAGTTAATACCTACTTATTTTTTAGAGCTCAGAATTGTGCTCATTTTGCCAGGAATCCTTTTATTAATGTCTTGACTAGGTAAAAGCACCTATTATAATCTTTCTCAACATCATATAGCTTTTTCTAGTATTTATAAAATTTGATTATTCATTTTTGTTACTTGTTTTTTTGTTTTGTTCCCCTATAAAGGGAACAGTATATAGTATTTTGTGCCCCAGCACCTAGCACAGAGCCTTGTACATCTAGATACTCATATTTCTTGAAAGAGTTAATGAGAAAGAAAGTACTATGCACTAAGGATTTTGCATACATTATCTCATTTAACTCTCAAAACTGATAAGCTGTCTTGGCTAGTGTAGCTCAGTTGGTTTAGTGTTGTCCCATGCACCAAAAGGTCACTGGTATGATTCCTGGTTAGGGTATATACCTGGGTTGTGGAGTCAATCCCTAGCCTCGGGGTGGGTACGGGAGGCAACTGATATTTCTCTCTCACATTGATGTTTCTCTCCCCTTCCCTTCCCTCTCTCCCTGCCCTCCCCCTCCCTCTTTCTTTCCCTCCCTCCCTCTCTCCCCCACCCCCTTCTTTCTCTAAAGCAATAAAAACACATTTAAAAAAAGAACAAAACTGATAATTTATTTACTGGGGACCCAATAAAGGTTAAATAACTTCCTAAGTCAGCCATTCAGACTTTTTTCTTCCTCCTTTCTTTCAATAGCTTTATTGAAGTATAACTGACATACAATATACTGTATATAGTTAAATCATATAATCTGATACATTTTGACATATCCATATACTCATGAAATTACCATAATCATGGCAATGAACATACTCATCATCCTCTTTGTAATTCCTCCCTCCTGTCCCTTCCCACCATCCCTAAGCAACCACTCCTTTCCTTTTTTTTTAACCCTACATTTGCTTCTGACACTTAGGTTAGTTTGTATTATCAGTATAAATTGAATCATGCAAGATATATTCTGTTGTCTGATACTTTGACTCAGTATAATTATTTTGAGCCCTAGCCTGTTCGGCTCAGTGAATAGAGCGTTGGCCCACAGACCAAAGGGTCCGGGTTTGATTCCAGTCAAGGGCATGTACTTTGGACGCACATCTAGATACTCATATTTCTTGAAAGAGTTAATGAGAAAGAAAGTACAGGACTGGCCAGAGCCTGTGTGAGAGGCAACCAATACATGTATCTCTATCACATCGATACTTCTCTCTCAAATTGTATAAATATGTCAAAATGTAATTGTCACTGTTTACAGAAATTTGGATTGTTTTCAGTTTTTTGCTCTTGTAAATAATATTGCTTTGAATATTCTTTTTAAAAAAATATTTTTTTTGATTTCAGAGAGAAAGGGAGAAGGAGAGAAAGATAGAAACATCAGTGATGAGAGAGAATCATTGATAGGCTACCTTCTGCATGCCTTCCACTGGGGATCGAGCCCACAACCCGGGCATGTGCCCTTGACCGGAATTGAACCCAGGACCCTCAGTTCGCAGGCCAACACTCTTCACTGAGCCAAACCGGCTAGGGTGCTTTGAATATTCTTGCACATATGTCTTGGTGTACATATACACATATATATTTATATTAGTTGTATATCCTGCAGTAGAATTGCCAGGTCATAGAGTATGCATATGTATAGGATAAAGAATTTTCCAATGCTCCACTGAGCCAAACCAGCCAGGGCTCTTCTCATTTTCTTGACATTATCTTTCAAAGAGTAGAAGTTTACATTTTTAGGGGTGGGGGGAGGTTGGGGGTTAATGGGGGGAATGAGGACACATTTGTAATACCTTAACTAATAATAATAATAAAAAAAAGAAGTTTACATTTTAATGAAGTCCACCTTAATAATGATTTCTTTCACAGGTCATGTCTTTGGTGTTATATCTAAAAAGACATCACTATACCCAAGATCAGATAGGTTTTCTCCTGTGTTATCCTCTGAGAGTTTTATGGTTTACTTTTTTGTCATTGATTTTCTCTAGTTTTACTAGTGTGTGACTAGGTGCAGATATCGTTTTATTTATCCTCTCAAGGTTCGTTGGGCTACATGGATCTATGGTTTGATATCTTGTCAATTTTGGAAAATATTCCACATTTTTATCGCTATAGACATTTCTTCTGACACATCCATTCCCTTTTTACACATATGTTAGACTCTTTTGCTGTGTTCTTTTCCTTTATTTTTACATTCTTTTGTCTCTTTTAACTTTATTCCAGGAGATTATTCTCACCTATCTTCTAATTTACTAATTCTCCCTACAGTGTTACAGTGTATTGAATTTGCTGTTAAACCTCATTCATTGACATAACTTTTTTCAGATATGGAATTTATATCTTTGTTCAAATTTGCTATGGTTTCCTCCACTTTTTTTTTTAAACAGCAGAAATTTATTTTCTCACAGTTCTGGAGTCTGGCAAGTCCAAACTCTATGTTATAACAGGTTTTGGTATCTGGTGGGAGCTCTCTTCCCAGCTTACAGATCACTACCTTCTCTCTGTATCTTTAGATGGCAGACAGAGCTGGTTTCCTCCACTTTTAAAAAATGATTTCTAGTTCTCTATGGAAATTTTTGATTTAATCTACTATCTCCTTAAACATAATACATAAACTCATAAGGTCTAAGTTTTTTAATCTGAGCTTTTAGAACACTGCCAGTTTGTTCCGGTTGGGTTTTGTTAATCATGTCTTGTCTCCTACTAGAGGCCCGAAGCACGAAATTCATGTAAGAGGCTCAGCTTTCAGAGCCCTGGCTGCCTTGGCCGGCCCTCACAGCCCCGGCTTTGTCCGGAAGGTCGTTCTGCTACTCAGTCTAATTAGCATATTAGCTCTTTATTATATAGGATATTATATAGGACAGTGATGGCGAACCTTTTGAGCTCGGGGTGTCAGCATTTTGAAAAACCCTAACTTAACTCTGGTGCCGTGTCACATTTAGAAATTTTTTGATATTTGCAACCATAGTAAAACAAAGACTTATATTTTTGATATTTATTTTATATATTTAAATGCCATTTAGCAAAGAAAAATCAACCAAAAAAATGAGTTCGCGTGTCACCTCTGACATGCGTGTCATAGGTTCGCCATCACTGATATAGGATGTGCCTGTGGTTTTATGAATGTGTATAAACATCATGTAGGATCCAGTATCAGGATTTGAAAAGATATGGGTTGCAGTCCCTTTGAGGTTTTGCTTATTTATGGTTCATCCTTACTCTTGAAGTCTCAATTTGAAGGATTTGGAATTTCCCATAATTCCCACCTTGGCAGGTCTCAGGCTATAGTTGTGTCTCCCTTGCCCTGTGAGGCTGTGAAAAGCACTGTTCCACTTAGTCTTACCTGCCTCTTGTAGATGCCCCCAAGGGAAAAGCTGCCCTACATGTCTGACTCACTTCTCTGGATATTCTTCTCTTGGATCTTGGCCCACTGATTCTTAACTGTCTCTTTAGTTCTCGGATGCCTTTTAGTCACACACCTCTTCCTCTGTGTTTTTCTAGTTTTCCTTATTGGGAGGATTTTGTATCAATTCACTGTTTCTGGAAATTGAACCACTTCTTATTTCTTGCTGTTAAAACTTATCCATTAAGATACTAATATTTCTTTCTGTATTAACTTTTTAGATGATCAAAGTACTACCTATGTAATATAGTTTATTAAAAGGATAAAAAAGTTAAGGAGCAAAAAACAGTCACAATGCCAACAGTGAGAGGCAGATACTGTGAATAGTTCCTTTTTGTTGGCCTGTTAGGGTGTGGGGTAGGGGAAGAGTTTGGAGATAAGCTTAGTTTGGATAATCTGAGTTTGAGGTGCTCAAGATATTTTAAGTAGAGTTGTGCTTGAGGCATTAAGATATTAAACATGATTTGATGCAAGAGAAGTGTGGAGATCTGGATTTGAACATTAAAAGCAGGAAGTTAGTTCAACCTATCAAAGTAAATGGAAGGGCAGTGGTGATTGTAGGCTGTTCCGCTGTTTAAGGGTAGCACAGATTGAGAAGGGACAGGGTAATTACAGAGGTAAGATGGAACTTAAAGTTTTGTAGTGTGAAGAAGGCCAATATATACAACAAATATTGTCTCATATGTTGTATATGTAGGTTATGTGTCTATGGGAAAAAATTTTTTACCTCATGCTTTTAATGGCTTTGGTTGATCTTTTTTTTTTTAATATATTTTTATTGATTTCAGAAAGCACAGGAGAGGGAGGGAGAGAAACATCAATGATGAGAAAGAATCACTGATCGGCTGCCTCCTCCATGCCCCACACCGGGGATCGAGCCCGTAACCCGTGTATGTGCCCGTGACCAGAATGGAACCCACGACCCTTTAGTCTGCAGGCCAACGCTCTATCCACTGAGCAAACCAGCTAGGGGTGATCTTTTTTTTTAAAGCCTAAAATCCTATAAGCTGAACAGTAGTTATATAAGACAGTATTACAGTAGGGAATACTTGTTTGTGTTTTAGATTTAATCACAAAATAGATTAAACCTTGAAGTTCAGGATTTCAGACATGCTAATAATTAATATTTAGTATTGTGCAAAAGAGTGTTATTAATCTCTTGTTCTAGTAAATGTGTATAATAATGAAATCACAATGTTGAAAATAAACTATATTAAGTACACTAAGTAGGTATTAAAAACAAATGACTTTCACACTGAATCAGTTTACATAGAGAGAGAAAAATACAAGAAGCAGCACTCTTGCATTTCCTGTTTAAATAATCATTGGTACTAAAGGTAAAAAGAGTGGTGACTTCATGTAAGTTTTCTGGTGATATAAATTATTTTAGTTCTATACCAGATTAATTCTTTAAGTAGATGTGCACAAAGGGCCAGAAGTTCATGACCACATACTTATTTTTAGCATATACTTGGAATTATCTTTTTGTTTCTACAGTTTTAATTGTATTTTGATAATTTTGCTATGTGTTTGGTAATTAAAGGAAATATTATAATATGGAAATTTTATTTATTTATTTAATTATTTTTTTGGGGAAATTTTATTTAATAGAGCCACAATAGAAGAGGCGTACTTCAGGTCAATGACAAAACTAGCAAAATCTGCAAGCAATTATTCACAACTTGGGTGAGTTAATTTCTTTGGAGAACTCTTTTTTTTAATGCTGATTTAGGCAGAGTTCTTCAGAATATTAGATTTCATTGAGGATATAATAGCTCATAAATGTAAAATATATAATGTACTTATTTATTGACTTGATTGAAAATATAATTGAGCTTGTTGAATTACTGAATACAGTCAAAGTATGTAAAACTTATTTTTTGCCCTTTATTAAATGACATAGTCATTCAGTAGTATAATTTGGACATTATAAATATTAAGTGTAATGCATGTTATTCTAGTTTTCTGTAGGTTCATTTTTTTTCTACCTTCATTTAAATTCTGCTACACAGTGAGCTTTAAAAACTCAATTAAATGATTGAAATGTTAAAATTTGTTTAAAATGTTTGATTATTTATAGACTATCATTAAATCTTTGAAGAAATGTATTCTTTGGAAAATGAAAACTAATAAAAATTTGTTTAAAATGAGATGTGTTCATAGCCATAACAACTCTGGGAAGAATAATTGTATAATTTGAAACATAACAACTCTGGAAAGAATACTTAATCTGATTTAGTTATCTAAAGTTTGGGGAGAGGTATTTTAGCTCAGATGTGAAAATAATTTGTGTAACATTTATAAAGATTTTTATAGTGATATTTAGTAAAAGATTCCTCTGTATATGGGTTTCTAATGCATCTGTGAATCCCCTGAAATTTACTGTAAAGTTTTGGGTAGGTATTATTAACTCATTTCTGATGAAGAGGGTCTATACCAGATTGACATATGGTTTTGCAATTCAAAAAACTGGTTAAGAACGACTATTTTATGAAAGTATTCTCTAGTGTCATTGAATGAGTTTAAATAAAAATCTGACTATGGCCTGCATAAAGGGGAGTTGTACTCTTCAGTTCATCCAGACCATAGTGACACTGTCCATTATATAAGTGCTGATACACACACACACACACACACACACACACACACACACACACACACACACACATATATATATATATATATATATATATATATATATATATATACTAGAGGCCTGTTGCACGAAGAGATTCGTGCAATAGGCCTTCCTTTCCCCTGGCTGCTGGCACCGGTTTGCCTCCAGCACCCAGGGCCCAGACCTTTACTCTGGCCAAGTTCTGGCCGGAGCCGGCCCTGGAAACGTCAGGCTTCGCTGCTCCGCCAAACCCGGGGCTGTGAGGCCTCGCTTCTCCACCAGCCCCGGAGCTGTGAGGCCTCGCTGCTCCGCTGGCCCAGGAAACCTCAGGCGTTGCTGCTCCACCAGCCCGGGGCTGTCAGGCTTCCAGTGGAGCCTACGTATGCAAATTAACCGCCATCTTTGTTGGCAGTTTATTTGCATATCCTGCTGATTAGCCAATGGGAGGCATGTTTGTCTATTATTAGATAGGATATAACTACTAGAGGCCCAGTGCACGAAATTCATGCATGGGCAGGGTCCCTAGGCCTGGTCGGCGATCAGGGCTGATTGGGGCCTTCTGGCTGCTGGTAGGGCCTCCCCCAGCTCCCGGCTGCCAGCCTTTCTTGATTCTGAACTGCCCCTGGTGGCCAGCGCACATTATAGTGAGAGATCGAACTCCTGGTCTCCCAGGAGATCAGGCCTAAGCCAGCAGTCAGACATCCCTCTCGCAATCCAGGATCCCTCGCTCCTTACCGCCCATCTACTCGCTGCTCCTTACCTCTTGGCTCACTTCTCTTTAGTGCTGCTGTGGAGGTGGGAGAGGCTCTCACCACCGCCGCTGTGCTTGCCAGGCATGAGCCTGACTTCTGGCTGAGCAGTGCTCTCCCTGTGGGAGCGCACTGACCACCAGGGGGCAGCTCCTGCTTGAGTGTCTGCCCCCTGGTGGTCAGTGCGCATCATAGCGACCGGTCATTCTGGTCGTTCCACTGTAACGGTTGCTTAGGCTTTTGTTACATAGATTCATGTGTGTTATTTAACCAGAAAAAAGTTGTATATATCTAATTTTTGTAAATGGAATAATAATATTTGAAATTCCTTAAAGAAACCTGTATTTAAAGAAATCTTATGTTGAACTGCTTTTCTCTGTAAAGAATCCTTTGGTAAAGTAAAGGGACACTCCTATCTTACCTGCTTTGTGAAATCTAGACTATCATCATGTATCAGGTTTACATGAAGTGATGCAGAAGTCTTTTGATGCTGTTGTGAGTGGATTGTTTTAGTGTCCTTTTTTTTTTCTTTTGAAATTTTCCATCTACTTGCCAGATTTAGGGCTGATGAGATTTTAAAGTGTGAAATGATATCTAATCAGAACAATCCTAAGTGTTTTCTTTTTAAAGTATATATTTATTGATTTCAGAGAGGAAGGGAAACGGAGAGAGAGATTGAAATATCAGTGATGAGAGAATCATTGATCGGCTGCCTCCTGCACGCCTCCTACTGGGGATCAAGCCCACAACCTGGGCATGTGCCCTTGACTAGAATTGAACCCTGGACCCTTTAGTCCACAGGTCGACCCTCTATCCATTTAGCCAAATTGGCTAGGGTCAATCCTAACTATTTTAATAAGCTTCTTTAAACTTCTTTACTATTGCTTAAAATGAACATTGTTAGTTAGCTTTCCTACTGGGTAGGAAATGTAGTAATTGGCACAGAGTACATACTAGGATAAGTAATTTCTTTCTCTGTTCTCTTGACTTAGTGATCAGTGCTGCTATTTGCTTTGTTTTTTTTATTAGAAATTTTGTCATAAAACAAAGCAGATACTGTTGAAAATATCGTAGGGAGTACCTGAGGAAATTATAGGGTAAAATTATTCTTAGATCATTCTCTATTGACCAAATTTAACATTGGCATTCTAAGTACTATCTAAGCTATTATAACATAGTAAGTAATTCTTGGAAGTACTTGAACCTGCTGAAAATATTAAACTATCAATATTGAGAAAAGCTGGTAGGAAAGTATGTCATGCATCCTGAACTATGTAGTAAAAAGGGGACTCTCTTAGTGTTTATTGAAGTACACAGATATAATGACCCTCAAAAGATTTTAGATAATAGTTGTTTTTTAAAAAATATATTTTATTGATTTTTTTACAGCGGGAAGGGAGAGGGATAGTTAGAAACATCGATGAGAGAGAAACATCGATCAGCTGCCTCCTGCACACTCCCCCCTGGGGATGTGCCCGCAACCAAGGTACATGCCCTTGATCAGAATCGAACTTGGGACCCTTCAGTCCACAGGCCGATGCTCTATCCACTGAGCCAAACCGGTTAGGGCTTAGATAATAGTTTTAAAATAATCTTCTATATATATAAAAGCCTAATATGCAAAATGTCTCCTCGGGAGTTCAACCGGGATTCAATCACTCGCTATGACGCGCGCAGACTACCAGGGGGCGGCGCGGAATGAAGGAAGGCCCTAGCAGCCTCTAGGGACCCTACCCGTGCACAAATTTTGTGCATTGGGCCTCTAGTTCTTATATAATTATTAATGATGACACTAAAAATTCATGTGCAAGTTTTAACTTTTCCATGTTTAAACTCAAAGGAACTTTCATTTCTGATGAAGTATTTAAAATTTTTTTGAATCCTCACCTGGAGTTTTTGTTTTTTTTTAAGAGAAAGTAGAGGGGAAGAAGGAAGGGGGGGAGGGAGAGAGAAACATTGATTTGAGAGAGACACATCTATTGATTGCCTCCTGCATGTGTCCTTTACCCGGGCTGGGGATGGAGCCTGCAACCGAGGAACATGCCCTTGACTGGAAATCGAACCTGAGACCCTTCAGTCTACAGGCCAACACCCTAACCACTGAGCAGCCGGCCAAGGCAGTCGTTTAATTTTTCATCTTTTACCTAATTAAAATTGCTGAATATAACATTATTAATTCCATTGGTTCTATTTTGGAGCCTTAAATTTTTTTTCTTTTAGTAAATTATTCCCATATTTTCTTTCCCTTAGAACATTTGCACCAGTATGGGATGTGTTCAAAACATCTACAGAGAAATTAGCTAATTGTCACTTGGATCTTGTTAGAAAACTACAAGAATTAATAAAGGAAGTTCAGAAGTATGGAGAAGAACAAGTAAAGTCTCATAAAAAGGTATCAATTTTTTCTCGATAAAGGATTAATTGGTCAGATATTGAGTGCTTTACAGCTTGATCATTTTTGATGAATCATTTCATACCAAACAGACTAAAGAAGAAGTTGCAGGAACTCTGGAAGCTGTTCAAACCATTCAGAGCATAACTCAGGCCCTCCAGAAATCCAAGGAAAATTACAATGCCAAGTGTGTAGAACAAGAACGTTTGAAAAAGGAAGGAGCTACACAAAGAGAAATAGAAAAGGTAATTATAATAAAAATAAATCCTCTGTGGTTTCAAAGTACTGTCATATACAAGAATGCATTTAATATTCAAGAATGATCTCAGATTTAAGATGAAGACACTGTACCTCTGAGTATTAGTGATATACCTGAATGAAACAGTAGACTTACAAAATATGTTGTGCATGGTAAATAGATTAGCAAATACATAAAAAGGAATGATTTCTTTTTGTCTGTAACACTTTACAGGATATATTTATAAAAGATAATTGATGAGATACTGCTTGGTATAAGATTTAACAATGAGGTAAAACTTTTTGAAGCAAGAAAGGCATAGATACTTGAAGATAAGCTTTAAATACAGGTTGTGGTCAATTTATTGCTGACTTTGAGTACATTTATGTAGTATTGTGGTAAACCACAACCCTTTCCCCACTCATGTTTTAATTGAAAGTAGTTTTTTTCCCCTCCTTTCAAAACAGTTTAACCATTCATTTGTTTGATGTGGTATAGTTTCTATTAGGAATGAGCCATAGGGGGCGATAATTTTAAAAGCTTTGTAAAGTTTTGAAATATCCGTAAAAATTTTAACCATATTACAATTATGATAATTACAGAAGTGTGCATACTTGGGCAGAAGCTAGAAGAGAATATTGAAAAATCAAAAGAGTTGATAGAATTTGGGTTAATAATATTTCCTTTAATGTTGTGCAATAAATAAAAATTGTGAGAGGGAGAAAGATGAGGCATAGTAAGTTCACAGTTTTAAAGTACCCTTAATTTCAGACAGCAATTATGAATAAAATGTAAAACCAAATAACAGGGTCCAAAAAGAATACTACCTCAGTGAACCAAAAATGGAACAGAAACCTGAGGTGGCATAGAGACTTATTATGCAGGCTTGTCGGACTCAAAGTCCTAAAATAAGTTAGGCAGTGGATTTTGGCTTTTGTGTGGTAAAGGGGGACTAAATGTTCCATATTTAAGATAATCACAAGGACCAGCAATTACTGGGAAGATCTCAGGAAACAGGCTCAACATCTGGAAAATGAACTTGACCTGAAACTGGTTACAAGTTACAGTCACAGCAGTGTCCAAGATGGAAGACACGCGGGTATAGCTCTGACACAACACCCTTTTTAAATGGATCAAGCCAAGACAATGTTTGAAACAATGGCAATTGAGATTAAATAGCTTTTTGGCAAGGCTTACAGGAATAAAAGATAAAATGGTAGAATACACCAACAGTGTGGCTGTCCCCTCCTTGAATGCAGCACTGATGCGTGCATTACAGCGACATAGATATTGCAGGATTATACATATGAATTCCATAAAACCAAAGCAAACTTTATGGCAGTATGGGAAATGGAGAATCTCATGGGATTAGTACAGAAGGATATTGAGTCATATAAAAGTGGGTCTGGAGTAAACAGAAAAACAACTATTTTTAAAATTTATATATATATACAAACACACACACACACACATATATTTTTCCTTTTTATCGAATTTATTGGTGCTGACACTGGTTAACAAACTATACAGGTTCCAGGTGCATAGTTCCACAACACATCATCTGTACACTGTATTGTGTGTTTACCACTCCAGGTCAAGCCTCTTTTCATCATCATTTATCCCTTCTGTACCCTCCTCCACCTCTCACCATCCTTCTTACCCTTGGCAGTCACCACACTGTTGTCCATGTTCATGAGTTTTTTTCTCTCTTTTTTGCTCAATCTCCCCACCCCCTGCCACCAAACCCCTGGAACACCTGTCTCCTCCCCCCACCCGCCCTCACTCTAGTTGTTAGCCTGCTCTCTATGAGTCTATCTCTATTCTAGTTTGCTTCTTGGTTCATTAGATTCCACATGAGTGAAATTATATGGTACTTGTCTTTCTCTGATTGGCTTATTTCACTTAACATAATGCTCTCTAGATCTATCCATGCTGTTGCAAAGGGTAAGATTTCCTTCTTTTTTATGGCTGAGTAGTCTGTTTTATAAATTCATGACTGCTTTTTTTTTTTAAAATTGATTTCAGAGACAGGAAAGGAGAGGGAGATGGAAACATCAATGATGAAAAAGAATCATCAGTCAGCTGCCTCCTGCATCCCCCTGGGAATTGAGCCCATAACCCAGGCATGTGCCCTGACGGGGAATCAAACCATGACCTCTTGGTTCATGGATCATCCCTCAATCACTGAGCCACACTGGCTGGGCATGACTGCTTTTTTATCCACTCATTTACTGATGGATACTTGGCCTGCTTCCAAATCTTGGCTATCTATAATAATAAAAGCGTAATATGCTAATTAGACTGGATGTCCTTCCAGACGACCTGCCGGACAAAGCTGGGGCTGTGAGGGAAGCCTGGGTCCCAGGTGCCAGAGGGAAGCTGGTGCCGGCTGGTGGGGGAAGGAAGGCCTACTCTTGTATGAATTTCATGCATCGGGCCTCTAGTTATAAATAACACTGCAGTGAACATAGGGGTGCATGTAGTCTTTCAAATTAGTATTTCAGGTTTCTTCAGGTAAATCCCAGAAGTGGAATTGCTGGGTCATAAAGCAATTCCATTTTTAATATTTTGAGGTAACTCCATACTGCTTTACACAGTGGCTGCACCAATCTGCATTCCCAACAGTGCATGAGGGCTCCCTTTTCTCTACATTCTCCCCAACACTTGTTTTTGATTTATTGATGATAGCCATTCTGACAGGTGTGAGGCTACATCTCATTGTGGTTTTAATTGTCATTTATCTGATGATGAGTGATGTTGAGAATCTTTTCATATGTCTATTGGCCATCTGTATGTCCTTTTTGGAGAAGGGCCTGAATAGTTCTTGATATTAACCCTTTATCAGAGATATTATTGGTGACTATGTTATCCCACTCAGTGGGTTGTCTTTTCATTTTGTTGGTTTCCTTTGCTGTGCAAAAACTTTTTAGTTTGGTGTAGTTCCTTTTGCTTATTTTTCCCCCCTTTGTTTCCCTTACCCAAGGAGGTCAGAAAAAAATATTGCTATGAGAAATGTCTGAGATTTTACTGCCTATGTTTTCTTCTAGGATTTTTATGGTTTTGAGTGTGACATTTAAGTCTCTATTTCATGTTGAGTCTATTCTTGTATCTGGTATAAGAAGGTAGTCAGGTTTATTTTTTTGCATGTATCTGTCCAATTTTCCCAACACCATTTATTGAATACACTATCTTTAGCCCATTGTATGTTTTTGCCTCCTTTGTCAAATATTAATTGACTAATGGCATGGGTTTATTTCTGGGCTCTCTATTCTTTTCCATTGATCTATATGTCTGTTTTTATGCCATTACCATGATGTTTTGATTACTAGAGCCTTGTAGTATACTGGTAGTTTGATATCAGGCGGCGTGAGTCCTCCAACTTTGTTCTTCTTTGTAAAGCTTGTTGTGGCTATTTGGGGTCCTTTGTGGTTCCACATCAATTTTTGGAATATTCTAGTTTTGTGAAATATACCATAAACAACTATTTTTGAAAGAACATGATTACTTTCAAAACTAAGGTTGTCTAATAGAAGAGACAATAAGCATTGCTATGGCAACAAAAGAAAATATGACTTTACAGAGTAGAATGTTGTAGTAGATTCAGAGCAAAATGAACACTTTGACCAGTTATTTTTCTGCTGTGAATAGCCCGGTCCAGCGAATCAACCTTTTGAAGTGGTGAGACTCGCTCATCCTGGGTGGTGTTATTGGTGTCTATATTTTCCTATTACTGCTGTATGCTTTACATTGATAGGACATCTCCAGGGACTTTAGCGACAATCACTTTCAGGCTGTGATCTGGAATAAGGAAAAGTAGGAAAGAGTAATTGACTGTCCTGATAATTAGCCTGACCATTAGGATTAATTCAAGACTAATAGTGATGCCGAAACCGGTTTGGCTCAGTGGATAGAGCGTCAGCCTGCGGACTGAGAGGTCCCGGGTTCGATTCCGGTCAAGGGCATGTACCTGGGTTGCGGGCACATCCCCGGTGGGGGATGTGCAAGAGGCAGCTGATCGATGTTTCTCTCTCATCGATGTTTCTAACTCTCTCTATCTCTCTCCCTTCCTCTCTGTGAAAAATCAATAAAATATATTTAAAAAAAAAAAAAAAAAAAAAAAAAAAAAAAAAAGACTAATAGTGATGAACTCTGACATGGTCAGGTTGAACTGAAGCCACAGTTTTTCTGTGCTGTTTTTTTCTAACATACACTGTGTTCTGTTTTTAGTTTTGATCAAAGAAAGATCAGAAAAAAAAGATAATCACAAGAGCTCCACTCATTGTATCAAACTATAGGTAGGGAAGAAAAAAGGCTCTTGGGCTGCTAACTAGGGCTAAAGCTTTATTGGAAGTAGGGGTTTGGGGCATACAGTTCTGACTGTGGTTCAGTCAAGCCAAGTAATCAATTCATGACTACTTTGGCCATATCCCCAGTATTCTTCTGGGGAAGTAATGAAAAATGACTTTTATAAGACTGATAGTAAACTGGGGCTTTGCTGATAGTAAACTTGAAAACTGCTGGATGGGAATGGGTGAGCATAAGGATAGAACATAACACAATTCTAGGAGGTACCATTTACATTGTATTCTATGGAGTTGTCCAGCAGGACTGTTGGAGAGAGAAGAGGCAGGAAAAAACAAGAAACCTCCCATTTGAAATGAGTAAACAACCAAATTTTAGAGCACATCTAAGAAATCTAATACTAAGACAGACACCAATAAATTTAACAATTGGAATAAGAATGCACTCCAGATGATATTTAAATTTATAAAACAGATGAGCAAAAACATTTGTGTGTCGAGATTCAAAGAGGTAAGTCAGTATAAACTTACTAGAGGCCCAGTGCACAAATTTGTGCATGGGTGGGGTCTGGCCGGCCCACCCTTATAGGGGCATTGGGCTGGTTGACCGCTGCAGTGTGAGTCATAGCGACCAGTCGTTCCAGTCATTCCATCGTTCCAGTCATTCCACCGTTCCGGTCGCTGGGCTTTTATATATATAGATGTTAAAGAAGATTAAAAAACTAAAAGAAGCATAATGAAATAAGATCTACTAGATAGGAGAGTAGCTAATTATAAAAGTTGGAACTGAAAAAATGTGCTATTGAAATAAAAAAAAAGGAATAGATAAGATAAACTGGATTTGATATAGGCAAGGAGAATTTGGACGATATTACTGCGGGAATCCACCCAGCATAATTCATCTAATATGGAATTCAGAAGGAAAAAATGGAGAGAATGGTGGGCAGGTAGTGTTTGAATATAACAGCTGAGAATTTTTCAGAATTGGAAGAAATTCAAGAGGCCTCAGATTTAAGTACATTTTTGGTATTAAGCATGTTAAATAAAGTTAAATTTAGACCTAGACACCAGAGAAAAAGGTTGTTAAAAGCTACCAGATATTTTTTTCCCCTCACATCTCTGAAATCAGAATGCATTTTCAGTCAATGGTATCATATAATCACTGTTGTTAATGTGGCATTTGTGGTGTAGTTTCATTGCCCATGAGAACTTAGTTGTTATGCCAGGCAGCATGATTGGGCAACTGCATTACTTTGATGCCTCAGTTAACACATCATTTTAAGACCAGTTGAGGAAGGAATAATTCTGATTGTTGTGTGAAAACCTTTTGTTGAGACGTTTTGGTAAGATCAAGAAAATGTAAGCTCCAGTGTTTAAAAGAAAGTCTGGAGATATAGTGGAACACTTTTGCTCTTGATGATATAGAGGATAATATGTGGGGAAAAACAGATATCAGTGATCCCTGAATTGGAAAATAATTGAGTCAGAACCTGAATATGAAGATTTAGGAGTATCTCAAATGATTCATTTTCCTTTCCTTCTTATTCTGTCGTATAGGAGTGGTATAGAGTAAAAACTTACCTCAAAGTAAGTCTAAAATAGCTCTTTGGATAAGTATAAAATAAAATTTTAAGTTATAAGAAAGCATTATTTCATGGTTTAATTGACAGAATTTTTTTATTTTAGTGGTACACAATTAATAGTGTGCTTTACTGTTAATGGTATATTAGATTTAGTAGTAGCCAAATATGTACATTAAGTGTATGTACTAAAATAAGTATGATAATACATCATCTAAATCAACAAAGAGAAGAGGATATTAAAATTTATCAATAAGAAGAGAGAAAGGAAATAGAAAGCAAAGTAAAGAAAACTCAAAATAAGTTGTTAGAAATAACTTTAAATATATAAGTCAGGGGTCCTCAAACTACGGCCCGGGGGCCACATGCGGCCCGCCAAAAACATTTATCTGGCCCGCCGGGTGTTTTTGCCGCCGCTGCCTGTCCTGCTTAGCAGCCGACTCGTCCCGGGCCCGCAGTGCGCATGTGTGGAATGTCTGAGGGACAGTGAACTGGCCCCCTGTTTAAAAAGTTTGAGGACCTCTGCTATAAGTAACCATATACATATAAATAAATTAGATTTCTTTAATTATAAATAGGTTGTCAGGTTGGGGAAAAAATCTTATGTAAGACAACTATAATGTTCAGCAGGAGGAGAATGTTTCATATAATGAGATTATTCTGCAGTTTAAATAAATGGGTAAAATAAGTAAAAGGGTAAACTGATAGATAGGGGAATACTCTAGCAAAAGAAAAAATACTAGAGGGGGAGGCATAGACAGAATCTTAAAGTTAGGTTAATGGGAGTTATTACCCTTTATTTGTGTGTGTGCTAAAATTTCTATTACAAAAGTAAAAAAAGAAAAAAAAAAAAAGCTAGAATGACCTGAATGGGTACATCTGAAAAGTATAATGTTGAGGGAAGAATATGTAAATTTTGATGCCTTTGACATAGTCTTTAATGTAAGGGTTCTTTGTCAGAAAACCCTTTTTATTTATTTGCTAGAGGCCCGGTGCACAAAATTAGTGCAAGAGTAGGCCTTCCTTCCCCTAGCTGCCAGCACCAGCTTCCCTCTGGCACCAGGGACCTGGGCTTCCCTCACAGCCCTGGCTTCGTCCGGAAGATAGTCTAGAAGGACGTCTGGTCTAATAAGCATATTACACTTTTATTATAGATAAGCATGGGAACAGTAAACACTAAGCCACATGAATGGAATTACCTTTGCAGAACAAATGGAGGGAATGAGACTGGGAAAAAAATGGGGCTGCATTTGTCTGTGTAATATTTAATTTTTTCCAAAAATTTATAAAAGACTATGAGCAAGATGCAATAAAAAGTTGACATTTCAAAAAAAATTACTTAAAAAATTGTGAGCTACATTCCAGCTGGTGTCACTCAGTGGTTGTGAGTTGACCTATGAACTAGGAGGTCGCAGGTTTGATTCCCAGTCAGTACACATGCTCGGGTTTGGGCTGGATCCCCAGTAGGGGGCATGCAGGAGGCAGCCAATCAATGATTCTCATCATCGATATTTCTATCTCTCTCTTCCTCTTCCTTCCTCTCTGAAATCAATAAACATATTTTTAAAAAGTGAACTACGGGAACATTTACCTATAGTATATACTGTAACATACACATCAAACAGTGAATTGATATGGTGTTCATGTCATTAATGCAAAAGTTTCTTAGCTAAATTAGTTGAAACTTTTTGGAGAGTTAAAATACTTCTGGGCTAAATACTGATCTTGTGTGTGTGTGTGTAGGGACCATTTGAAAAGTACATGGTAACTAGGGATTACACTTAAAGAAATGATTGAGCCTTGATATAAACCAGAAAAGGTTTAATATAAGGTAATAATTTAGATGAAATTAAGGAATTTATTTTTAGTTAACATTTTGAGCAAAGCTGTAGCATATAGTTGTGTCCAAAGGTTGTGAGTTGGTGGCTGAAATACAGCCTGTGGTTCACTTGCCTTGGTGGGGTCGACAGCTCAGAGGAAGGGTGCTTTTTTCTGATTGTTCTGCTCAGAGGTGATGTCATACTAGATGTGTAGTGGGTCTCTGATTTAGATATATTCAAATCCAAGTCTAAGTAAATTTATTTTGCCCTATAATAGATTATTATCATTATTTTAATCCTCACTAGAGGATATGTTTTCATTGATTTTTAGAGAGAGAGGAGGGGGGGGGGAGAGAAAGAAACATCGATGTGAAAGAGACATCAGTGGGTTGTCTCCCATATGAACCCTGACCAGGAATAGAACCCGAAACCTTTTTGGGATACAGGACGATGCTTCAGTAACTGAGCCACCCAGCCAGGACTATAATAAGCTTATTATTAGTATGAAGGTAGTTTAAAAAAAGTGTGCCTAGATCTTTGAATAATTTTTCCTTTGGTAAATTTGAAAACAAATACTATTATGACATAGTATGTGTCTTACCCTTACTCACAAACCTTTATTTTTATAAAACACCATTTAGAAAGCACTCATATTTGTGAAATGTGACTAAGTACTTATTTTATATGTCTATATTTGCTTCATAGGACTTTATTATAAAAGTTATAGGCACTTAAGCGGAAACATTTTTGGTAGTATAGCAGTAAATTTATTTACAATGTTCTAATGATAAAATGAATAAGATATAAGATTTATTTTATTATCAGTAGGTAATCTGTTAAAACCCATCTTTTATTTATGAGAAGAAATGTAGTTATTGCTTTTAAACCATAATTTCCTCATTTAAGAACAAATGCCCCAACTTCCCTTTTAGTAATGACTTTACAAAAGTGGTCAAGTATGTTACTACTAGGACATTTAGTTTCTGTAATTTTATTCTAAGAATTTATGGTATTACTAAGCATATGTACTACTTAGAAAATTGTTTTTACTTAATATAGTATTGGTATTTGGTTGTTTCCTATGAGAGATGTTTCTTGCTTTAAAAAAAATAGATGTTCCCAGTACAATTACCTTCTAAAATTGCCTCATCCCTTAACATGCATTAAATTGTTATTTCATTTTAACTTATATCAAGAAAGAAGAAAGGTAATTTTGTAGTTCAAAATGTTTTTGTTTTGTTACAGGCAGCTGTTAAATCTAAGAAAGCAACAGACACCTATAAACTCTACGTGGAAAAGTATGCATTAGCAAAAGCTGATTTTGAACAGAAAATGACAGAAACAGCTCAGGTTGGTATTTTTAAGGCTTTAAATCTAATAGGATATTTATGTATATTGATTAAATATAATTTTCCTGTCATATACTTTTTTAGTACTAGAAATGTTAAAATGCACATTCTCAATGTTTTAATAATGCTGTTTTAAAAATACACATTTTGTTTTGGAGATTGAGGACCAAGATGCAATAATTATAATATAATGGATTATTCAGAAGAGGCTATTTAAAGAGAATTGGGGAAAATGAGGACATTGGTAAATGATGAATCCAGGCCTTATATATAGATTTTAAAATTGACTTCTGCTTAAGAAGAAAACTGGAAATGACTTCGTGCTGAGGTGCTGAGGATATAGCAGTTAACAAAACAAAACTCTGCTTAAATAAAACTTCCATTTTAGCGAGAGAAGACAGGCAGTAAAAAAATGTATTCCATAAGCTTGGGGTAATTATATTTGATTTGTTGTTCTTAGAGCCTAATTAAAGGCCTAGGTTTAAGATGGGTGCCTTTTATGAATCATTCCTAAAACTTCCATCCCCACCCTCTTGTCCTCTTGCGCATCCCCCCACTGCCCCGCCCCATAGCACCTTTCATTATATAACATACCATGAATTTTATTTGTTGTATTAGTCAGGATAGGCTGGGTATGCTGAGATAACAAAGAATCCCTTCCCCCCCCCCTCCAAATCTCAGTGACTTACAGTAGCAAGGATTTATTTGTTGTGCTACTTGTTCTTCATGGGTCAGCTGCATCATCATCACTCTGTTACTGAGGATGGTGGAGGAACGCTCTTCTTAGAACATTATTCTTAGTCGTCATGTCTGAGAGGCTAGAAACATGGTGAAGCACGCGTACCTGCATATGTGTGTGTGTATGTATGTAAAAAATATATATATTTTTTAAATTTTGTCTTCTACAAAAATGTAAGTTCTTTGAGAGCAGGTATTGACTTGTTCACTGCTATTTCCTCAGCACTTAAAACAGTTTTTAGATGATGATAGGCACTCAATAAGTGAAAGAAGGACTTAACAAAATCTGACTTTTTGGACTCTAGGGAGTCTTCTCATTGGGAGTGGTGAAGGACTCACATATCAGAAACCAAAGGCTTGCTTGTGTGTAGGCATACATACATCCATCTTTACTTACCCTGTTGTGGGCTCTGTGCTGGGTGTATATTGTATCTACTTAAATAAAACAAGTATCTCCCTGCTCTGGGAGTATAGAGGAGGGAGGCAGACCTTAAATACATGCCTAAATATAAAGTTATAAATTATTACAGTGTTATAAGGGAAAAGAATAGGCTTCCATGAGATAGAATAATAAAAGTTAACCTAATCTGGAGTAGGGAGTTAGGAAAGGCATTTTTTGGGGAAGAGACATTTAAAACTGAGATGAAGAATAAGTAAGAGACTCATTCTAGGGCCAGAGTGTTCCAGGCATTGGAGACCATATAGCTATGAAGACCCAGAGATGTAAAAGGGCTGTCACATTATATAAAGTGTAAAATGCTTGCTAAAACTGAGTAAGGAGAGATGATGGTGAGGCGTGAGGTTAGGGAGAACATAGGCAAAGACCAGGCTTAAGTAAGGGTTTGGTTTTCTTCTAAGAGTAATTTGAAGACATTGGAGGGTAGTATGCAAGTATGTGACATGGTCTGGTCCGAATTTTAAAAGATAATTCTTGCAGTTTTGTGAAGAATAGATTATAGTGAGGACAAAGGAGAATCAACTCTCCCTCTCCCTTTCTCTCTGAAAGCATCAAAAATATTTAAAAAAAAAAAATTCTGTTGTTCTACATTCCTGCCCATGAGACAAAAAATCATTGGGGGAAAAAAAAAGTCCAGTTTAGAAGGCAGTTAATAGTGAGATGAGAAGGATGAGGGCCAATGTGGTGGCCTTGGAGAACGTGAGAAGTGAATGCATTTGGAGATGACAGGAGTGGGGTGGATGGAAGAATTCTAGAGAGATCAAGATCTCTTCTGAGTGTTGGCTTGTAAGTCTGTATGGGAAAGACTAGATGAAGAACTGTTGTTAGTTTGAGGAGTCAGAGGGGACCAGATGTTCAGTTTTGAACAGCCTACCTAAGTGGAGACAACAAACGGGCAGTTTTGGAGGACCTAAGTAAGCTGGATTCCAAAAGCTCTGAAAACAAAAAGCGTTTTTCTATAACTCATTTTGCAGCAAAACTTGACTTAAACTGATGTGAGGCTGTTTCTATACTCTTTATTTATATTACTTACACGAAATGTACGTGTTTTCTTTTAGAAATACTAATGTTTTTGATAAACAGATGCCACTGCAGATTCTGCTGGTAGTATTATGAAATATATGGTAATAGCATCATATTGTCTTTATTTAAAAAATCCAAAATATTGAATTCCCAAACACCTGGTCCCATGCCGGGAGCCGGTCCATGCTTGCTGTTTCAAGGGACCTGGCATATATGGCATACTGTTCTTAATATGTTTGCTCACCTTCTTGGCACTATGTGTTTTAACCAAGGTCTCTGAGAAAGATTGTTTCCCCAGGTAGGGATTTTCCCCTGAAGTTAGGGAGGGAATAAAACCTCTTAACTAAGTGCCAGGTGGGTAATTAATCACTTTAACTATGAACAATCATGCTTAAGCTACATAATCTTTACTCCCTGGAATGGAGATAAGAAACGCCCTAACCTTTGTAATAGAGATTGATAGGATTGAATCAACTGGTATAAATACAGATGTAATAAGACAGCAAGACCCAGAACTTAGGAGACAGAACTTAGAACACAGAACTTAGATCACAGAACTTAGAATACAGAACTAAGAGAGACAGAACCTAGGCACAGAACCTACACAGAATGTTCTCTAGAGACAGAAGAACTTCGCTGGAGAGAACATGGCAAAAGTTCCTGGACAGAAACTGGCCTCAGAACCTAGAGACAGAACCTAGCGAGAGAACATGGCCAAAGATCCTGGACTGAACCTGACTACAGAAATTGGCAAGAGAACCTGACTAGAACCTGGTAACTGAACCTAGCTGGAGAACCTAGCGAGGGAACATGGCTACAGAACCTGGTTGGAGAACCTGGAGAACCTAGCAAGAGAACATGGACACAGACCCTGGCAGGAGATCCTAAGCAGAACTTCGCTGGAGATCCAGACCAGAACTTGGCTGGAGATCCTGGCTGGAGATCCTGGCTAGGCTGCTGATCAACTGAACGCTGTCTCCGTGTCCTTCCTTCTTCGCCGACGCCGTCCACACCTTTGGGGACCCCTGGACCTGCTGGGGCTGGACCCCGGCAGTCCCAGAGGTTTTGAATAAAGGATTGTGAGCCTGTATAAAGTAGGGGCTTCTCAGCACACAAAGCCATAATGACATCACCTTTGTCAGAGTGTGGGAGAAGAAAGGGCCACCCACACTCTGAGAGATTCATCATTGACAATTTGATAGAGGAAGAGATGTTGAAACCCAAGTAGGAGAAGCCAGAGAAGGAAGAAAACTGGGAAGTATGATATCATGGCAGTTGGGAAATGATAATATTTCAAGGAGGGTTTATAGTTAGTTGTGTTAAGTTAAGGCTCTAATTCTAGTGACATAAAAAGTTTTAATTTCTATAGCAACTAAGATCATTGTAGACTTCAGCAAGTGCCCTTTTGTCTTCTAAATCAGAACACTCATTTATAAGGCAATTATTGTTGATTTTGTATTAAAATGACTAGTTCCTGTCAGTGAAAATATTTTGCCTTTCAATTATTTGTTTAAAAAAACAGGAATTAGAATTTGCTAGAATCAGGGTTTTTTGTTTATAGTACTTTATAAAAAGTATTTTCTTTTTAAAAAAAATATATTTTATTGATTTTTTTACAGAGTGGAAGGGAGAGGGATAGAGAATTAGAAACATCGATCAGCTGCCTCCTGCACACTCCCACTGGGGATGTGCCTGCAACCAAGGTACATGCCCTTGACCGAAATCAAACCTGGGACCCTTGAGTCTGCAGGCTGACGCTCTATCCACTGAGCCAAACCGGTTAGGGCCTTATTTTTTTTTTTTTTTTATTAAATATATTTATTGATTTTAGAGAGGGAGAGGTAGAAACATCTATGACGAGAGAGAATCATTAATGGCTGCCTCCTGCACACCCCCTACTGGGGATCGAGCTGGCTGGGCTATAAAACTACTTTTAGCATTCATTTTTTTCTCTCCTTATCCTTATCTTTTGCTTTCTCATTACATTTTCCCCCCAAAATTGGCATTTTAATTGTTTATCCTGACATTTCCAAGATGGGAACAATAATTTATTTGATCAGATATATAAATAGCCATGCTGCTCTTAAATAAAGATGATGGTATACTGTGCTAATGCGCTCTCTCTCTCTCTCTCTCTCTCTCTCTCTCTCCCTCTCCCTCTCCCTCTCCCTCTCCCTCTCCCTCTCCCTCTCCCTCTTCCTCTCCCTCTCCCTCTCCCTCTCCCTCTCCCTCTCCCTCTCCCTCTCTCTTCCTTTCTTACACTGGCAGAATAGATTAACTATTGTTTGTTAATAGACAGTAGACTTTAATTTGGGTTATTTAGAAGTGAAAAGAATTATTATACATCTCCACTTTCCTTTTGTTCCAGCCTAAGCGGTTGACTTAAATCCCAGTAGGAAAGGACCTGTCAGTCTAATGAATATCAAATTTGGGTGGCAGGACCTATATTTACTAGTGGGGAAGGAAATTGAGTCCCTGGGGTGAAAAAGGTTAGAATGTACTTGGAGTATTTGTGATTTAATTTTTTTCATTTGCGGTGAGAATAAACATGATTAAAAACGTGACTTCTCTTTGTGTTTATGCTTTTTACCACTGTCAGTTAATGACACTTGAAAAACTTGAAACAATATGGAGATTTTGTTCACTTTTAACAGTTTGATGACTAGTTCAAGGAGACTGAGATTTGTTTAAGCAGCACCCCCAGAATAAGGTTTTAGAATTAGAGTGCTTCTCTGTAGATATCTCTAGTATAACAGTACATACAAACAGTGAATTTGAAAGGAGAAAAAAATCTCATTTGTTCAAGAAAGTTCATTTTTTTATATTCAAATACTTGAGAGTATATTTCCATTGCTGAATTGCTCTGAGTTTAGCAGTCACTAATTTTGAGGATATTTAGCAGTATCTACCCACCAAGAAAACGCAGCACAGTTTCAGAATTGCATTTGAATCATGTGTTGAGATTGTGTGTGGTTTCATGCTCAAGATTTTTCTAAATAATTAAGGATCTGCCTTATTCACTGTAGCTGTTTCAAAAGAGACTGAAAAGGTAGTACAATTTTCTTGGAATTAGGGGTCATCATATGCAGTTTTGACCAAGCTTTCCTGGATTTTGGTCTACCTATCTATGAGACAATCTCTGGTTCATTAAGTTACAGAAATTTGAGGGTGACTTTTATAATATGAACATAAAGTAGAATCATGCTCCTGCTGAATATTCCTCAGTTCTTAAGACTAATTCAGGATCTTGCACCGTTGGTATTCTCATTGACTTGTTCAAAATTAGTCAAAATAAGCACTCTAACTCTGTTATTTCTCATGAATAAAACTGATTGAAGTGTTTGGATTATTATTGTATTATTGCCCAAACTGTAATTGCACTTTTTTTTTAAGTTCAGAAGCTTAACACAAATATGGACATGATCATTTGGCTTATTGATTTTTGATCATGGAATTCAGTGTTGAAGAAAACTAGATATTAAATATGGGGTGATGGAATTTAATTTGATAAACTAACCAGAGGAAAAAACTGAAGCATTTAGACCTATTTCTTAAAACTGATTTAATTTAGGAGGAGAGGGGGTCAGGAAGGGTAATCAATCAGGCTTGTGCATGGAAATGACAAATGTATTTTCTAGTGTTTTTTAAATTTATCTTTATTGTTGAAAGTATTACAGATGCTTCTCTTTTTGTTGTTGTTGTTTTCCCATTGACCCCATCCATTCCACTCCCAAGCCTGATTCACCATACTATTGCTGTGTCCATGGGCTATGCATATCTTACTAATAAAAGCCTAGGTGATCCTCATGCCCTCACGCTGTCACAAGATGGCTGCGTGCACAGTGGAGGCGGGGCCCAGCGGCCACTCTGCACAGCTTCCGCCAGGGTTCTGCGGGGTTCTCTAGTATGCATATAAGTTCCCCAGTTAATCTCCCCCTCCCCCCCTTCCCTCTGAAATTTTGTTCATCAGATTATTTTGTTCATTAGATTTCACATATGAATGCGATCATGTGATTTCTCTGACTGGCTTATTTTGCTTAGTGCATAATACTTAACAAATGTATTTTGTTTGAAAATGGCTAGTTCAGCATTTCCCAAATCCTGTTTTGAGGAAGATTGTTCTGTGAGATATTAATAGATATTCAGAGATGAAGAAAGACAAACAGGGTGGTTTGGTCAAAAAATTTTGGAAAACACTGGGTTAGGCAAAATAAATTTTGGTATGCAATAATTTTCAGACTTTTTAATATTTATTATGAAGCCAAGTCTAGCAGTAGTTTTCTTATTGGGGAATAAATACCTGAATAACCCGGGAATTTCTTCCAAACAGCATTCTCACCTCTTTCCACCCCCACCCCCAGGTAGTAGTGGAGGATCTGTGTGTTTTGTAGTTTGAAAACATTCCCCTGGTGATCTGATGTATCCCCACCTTCAGTTGAGAACTGCTAAGAAAGAGTTTATAGACTTCCCAAATTTATTTGACCACAGAATATCTTTTGAAGACTACATATTAACATTTTTGAGGATTAGAAAGACATTTTGAGAGCCTGTGGGCTAGATTGTAAAGTGTTTAGAAGTAAACTGCAGTTTTTCAGTTTTTGAAACACTTCTCCCTTGGTTTTTATGACAGACACCCATATCTTCTGGGTCTTCTTATTTTCTGACCATGATAATAGGTTTTAATTTGTGTTATGTTCAAACTGAAAAAGTTCATGTTTACCTGAGAAATGGCACAACAAAAAGGTAACTTTTCTCTGCTATATTTCAGTATGTTTACTAAACCCATTTGTCTAGACAGGGGTGGGCAAACTTTTTGACTCGAGGGCCACAATGGGTTCTTAAACTGGACCAGAGGGCCGGAACAAAAGCATGGATGGAGTGTTTGTGTGAACTAATATAAATTCAAAGTAAACATCATTACATAAAAGGGTACGGTCTTATTTTTCAATAGTTTTATTCATTTCAAACGGGCCAGATCCGGCCCTCGGGCCGTAGTTTGCCCACAGCTGGTCTAGAAGCATTGCTAAATATTACATAATGAATAACTTGCTAAATTTGGTTAGCTGTATAGAGATAACTTCTAAAAGATCTTTTGATTTTAGTATTTATGTGAATGTGTGTATACATATTTTATATGTTACTTTTTATATTTGTTACTCAGAAATTTCAAGACATTGAAGAAACTCATCTCATTCACATAAAGGAAATTATAGGATCCTTGTCAAATGCTGTAAAGGAAATTCATTTGCAAATAGGCCAGGTAGGTTTTTACTTCATGAACTGATTCATGAACATTTTATGTTCATTTATGACTCTTTAAAAATTCCAAACTCATAACATGATACTGAATTATTTCAGATAAAAAATATGAATTTACAGCCCTAGCCAGTTTGGCTCAGTGGATAGAGCACCAGCCTGTGGACTGAAGGGTCCCAGGTTCAATTCTGGTCAAGGCCACATGCCCAGGTTGAGGGCTCAATCCCCCGTAGGAGGCATGCAGAAGGCAGCCTATCAATGATTCTCTCTCATCATTGATGTTTCTGTCTCTCTTTCCTCCCTTCCTCTCTGAAATCAATAAAAATATATTTAAAAAATATGTGTTTACATGTATTAACTGTAAAATAAACTGGATTTTTGATTGGTCATCAGGGATGATAATTCAAATTAATTTTTAAAGTTAACTATGTTCAGTTCTCTTTATGTTAAAATTCTGAAGTTACCAATTTTTTAATATATCTTTTTTGAAGTTTTACTGTTTTAAAATTTAGAACAGCAGCTGTAAGTTATAGAACTTGTACTTAGAAATTTTCCAAAAATGTAAAGGCAGTTTAATGATCACAATTTGGGATGCATTGAAATATAATAGAGAAAGATGAAATCTGTTATTCTTTATTATTAAAGATCTAAAACTTTTAATTGCCTGTGCAATTTTTATTTATCATAAGGATTATGTTCTAAAACATTTCAAGAAACAAGAAGCTGCATTTATTTCTAAGGTTGTACAGCCATATCTAAGGGGTTCACGTAAACAGTGATTGGTACCCACAGTACTACTAACAGTGTAAGATAGGCAACAGACCATGCTTAGTAAATGAAAGTTCTTAAAGGCTCTGGCTCAAAAAATGCACATTTGGTGTAATGAATTTTAATTGCTTTGTGGAAGTTTTGTCTGACAGTAAGAATATGTACAGAAAAAGAAAGAATTTATCTTTATCTCATTTTAATAGGTCCATGAAGAATTTATAAATAATATGGCTAACACTACAGTTGAAAGCTTGATACAAAAATTTGCTGAGTCAAAAGGCACTGGGAAGGAAAGACCTGGTAAGATGATAAACTCTGCAAGGAAATGTATTCATGTTTCCCATCCAGCAACTAATGTGTTTGCCTTTAAATTGCAAAACTGCAAAATGGAGCTTGGGAGATACCTGAAAATTTGTGTCAAATCTTAGGTATCATTTACTTTGTGTCTGATGATATGTTGAAAATTAAGATTTTTGTTTTAACCTTTAGTGGTTAACAATTTAGTATTACTTAAAATGGTTATTATAACCTTTACTAAGTTAATATGTTGCAGTTTATATATTTTTAAAATAAATTAGCAACAGAAGGCCATTTTTAAAACAGAGTAGAGTGCTAACAAGTATTCCCGGCAATTGTGTACCGGTAGACACTGAGGATACAGCAGTGAACAAATGAATACGGGAATCCTGGTTCCTGTTTTATGAACAGATGTTTATAGGTATCCTGAATCTTACTTTTAATAAGCATGTTATGATATATCAAATATAATAAGCTCAGTCCCTTCTCCTGTTTATCATAGTCTTCCACATTTCTTCAATCTGTTAGTTACTCTACAATATTGGTTTCACAGGTAAAAATAATTCAGTCCAGTGAAGAAAGTATGGTTTGGAATTCAGGAAAATAGACAAGTATTTTTAGAGAAGTACAGGAACCATTTTTCCTCAGTGCAGTTCACAGAACTAAGGCTTGAAACCAAAATCTTCTTTACTTTATTCTTCCCACATTTCATCAAGTTTCAAGTCATGTTAATTCAATTGTTAGATTTTCCCTTCAGCCCTTCTTTCCATGCTCTCTCTACTTACCTGATTAATTGCAGCAGCAGGTTTCTAAATACTAGCACAGCAATCCACTTTACATGTTATAGCACATTCATGTTTTGACTCTACAATTTTGAACTCGTAATTGTGCTACTCATAAATCTTTAACTTTTTATTATAGACAGAGTGAAACTTAGATTCTGGACTTGGATTCGAAGCCTTTCAGGATTAGGCCTTGACCAGTCTTCAGTCTTATTTTCCATTATTCCTTTTATAGCCACCCTTCAGTGCAGTCAGCCTAAACTGTTTGCTGTTTCCTATACAAGTCCCTTCTTTTCTCTTGGTATCTTAGTTGCCCTATGTCCTTATTCTAGAAAATGTTATATCCCACTCCTTTTCTACCCCATGTCTTCCCATTTATTTGTCTAAAGAAAAAATTCTTAAAGAGTCAGGTCACATGTTACTTCCGCCATCAAAAGTGCCAGAGAACTTTAACAACACTTTTTTTTGGCATTGTTGCCATTACCTTAAATTTTAATAATTGTATGCCCTAGCTGTTTGGCTCAGTGGGTTAGAGCGTTGGCCTGCGCACCGAAGGGTTTAGGATTTGATTCTGATCAAGTGTATATTATTATATCTTGGTTGCAGGCTCGATCCCCGGCCCTGGTCAGGGCTTGTGCAGGAGGCAACCAATCGATGTGTCTCTCTCACATCGATGTTGCGCTTTCCCCTTCCCCGCTTCTCTTTCCCTCTCTCCCTCTCTCTCCTCTTCCCTTCCATTCTCTCTCAAAAAAATCAGTGGAAAAAAATATCCTCGGGTGAGAATTAACAAAAAAATTTTATAATTGTGTGCTTGTGAAGAAAAGTTATATATTTGATTCATCTGTTTATCATCTTTATGTGTAAACAGTACATTTTTTTTGATGAATTAGTGACAAAATGGATAAGGTTAGCATATTACGGAGGCTGGAATGAATGGATTTGCTGTTTGAAAAGTTTTGGTGAACAAATAGTAAGTTATAGTTAAAGTTTAGTGAGCACTTTATTCTGCTAAGTTAGCCAGGTACTGTTCTAATCACTTTGCAGGCAAACTGATCTTCAACAACTCTTTGAGGGTAGGTTGAGAGAAATGTTGAGAGGCTAAATGATTTACCTAAACTAGTACATGTCAGAGCTGGGATTAAATGCCAGGATTCTAGTTAGTTTACATATATAGAGAGAATAGGATATTGAGATACATAATTATTAAACAACGAGAAACCCTAAAATTCCTTAAAAAGAGATTAAATTATAAGTGAAGACCAATTAAGAGAGTAAAAACAATTGGGGAACAAGTAGAATTTTATATAGAGCATTTCCAAGTGTTCATAGAATAAAAGCAAAGATGTATCAGCCGGTTAAAAATGCCTTAGAAATCTAAACAAGATTGGTAGATTTTATCATTATCATTATCAGTATCTTGTTTGCTACGTTATAGTGTAGTTTTCCAAAATGTAGGAAACCAAGCACAGGTGTACAAGGGATCACCATGTATTTTTTTTTTTAAACAGCTGTATGTGAATCTACAATTACCTCAATAAAAATTTCAGTTTTCTTATTTGTGGTACAGGACAGTATTTAGCCCTGTAGTTTGTGGTCCACTCTTTACTAGCATTGAGATCTTTAAGCCTTAATGCCCTCATCTGTAAAGGGAGGATAATAATAGTACTTAACCTCATGGGGTCGTGAGGTTTACATGAGATAATGTTACATTTATTGAGTACTTAATAGATGTTATTTTCAAAAAATTAATACATTCCTAATTAATAGGTAGTTAATAATGGATATTATTTCTTTATAAATTTAAATTTACTGGCCTCAGGATATACTAAGATGTAGAAAATTTCTGAAGCTAAATGGTGAGAGGGAGTCCAAGAATGGTGATGACATGGGCTTGTCTAGAATCACTAGACCCAGAATTAGGTGACTGTTTCAGGATGACTGTTGACATTGTGACTAACTTTCAAAAAGCTGGTCCTAGTACTAACCTTAAAAAAAGGAGGGAGAGTGTGGGATTTGTTGGAAAGATAAATATCACTTCTCTAGTTGACTTGCTATGGGTGACTAGTTTTAGCTCTTACACATGTATTTGTTCGGTTTGTGAACACATGAACAAATGAGCCTTGGAACCCATACGATGAAAATTTTGAGTTTCTCAGAAAAATAGCAATCAATTTTACATGTGGTTGTATGGAATTCACAGACTTAAAGGATTTTGCTCTGTAAGATGTATTCTAACCTTCAATTTGTATACTATTGATTGCTGTTAACATTTTTTTTTTTCCTCCTGTTTTGTAAGTGCCCCCTCTGGTGGATGAAGTCCTTTTAAAATTAGTTTTAGTCCTATGGATTACACATTTTAAAAAGAGGCCCAGTTCTTTAAACATTTTGTAAGCCACCCTAGCTGGTTTTGTTCAGTGGTTAGAGTGTCAGCCCGTGGACTGAAGGTTCCCGGGTTGGATTCCGGTCAGGGGCACACCTCGGTTGCGGGCTCGATCCCTGGCCCCTGTCGGCGTGTGTACAGGAGGCAACCAATCTAGGTGTCTTCCTCACAGTGATGTTTCTCTCTGTCTCTACCTCTCCCTTCCATTCTCTCTAAAAAAGAAATCAATGGAAAAAATATCCTTGGGTGAGGATTAACAACAAAAATAATGAGAAAGCTTTGTAAATCAAAAAGTTATTTATCTTGTGGTGTAAAATGACTTTTTTTAAAAAAAATATCATTTTATTGATTTTTTGCAGAGAGGAAGGGAGAGGGATAGAGAGTTCGAAACATCAATCAGCTGCCTCCTGCACACCCCCTACTGGGGATGTGCCCGCAACCAAGGTACATGCCCTTGACCGGAATCAAACCTGGGACCCTTGAGTCCGCAGGCTGACGCTCTATCCACTGAGCCAAACTGGTTAGGGCTAAAATGACTTTTTTTTTTAGTCTGTTACCTGTTGGAAGATATAACCCCTAACTTTGTCTCCAGTTATTCTGTGTCAAACACTGAGAGCATTGACATTTTTTCCCTATTCGTTGAGACTATTTTATACTAATTATATGCAATGACATTTTTGTCATTACTTTTTAAATTGATATATAATTGACATATAATATTGTATTAGTTTGTGATGATTTGATATATTGTACTTATTGCAAAATGATTACCAAAATAAGTTTAGTTTAAATATCCATCCCCACACATAGTTACAATTTTTTTTTCTCATGGTAAGAACTTTTAAGAACTACTTTCATACCTTTCAAATACACGGTACAATATTGTTAAGTGTAGTCACCATGCTGTGTATTACATCTCCAGGACTTTTTGACTTTGTAACTGGAAGTTTATAGCTTTTTTACTACTTTCACCCATTTTTTCTAATCTCCCACTCCCCACCTCTGACAACCCCTAACCTGTTCTTTGTATTTCTTTTTAGATTCCACATATAAGATTATACAGTATTTGTCTTTCTCTGACTTATTTCACTTAGCGTAATACCCTCAAGTTCCATCCATATTGTCATAGAACAGACTTTTCTTCTTTGTTATGGCTGAATAATATTCCATTGTATATATACACCACATTTTTTGATCCATTCATCTGTAAGTGGACATTTAGGTTGTTTCTGTGTCTTGGCTATTGTAAATAGAGCTGCAGTGAACACGGGGGGTGGGGGGGTGCAGATATATTTTTTGAGATAGAGATTTCATTTCTTTCAGATAAATACTCAGAATTGCTGGATCTTACGGTGGTTCTACTTTTATATTTTTGAGGAACCCCCATACTGCTTTTGACATTACTTTTTTTAGTATAGTACTGCTTGGCTCTTCTGGAATTTGAGTCACTGTAATTGGATGCTTGAAATATCAAAACACCTCTCGTCTGAAAGGGTCATGAAAAAACAGGTGTTTTCTAATTTTGACTATCTTTTTATGTTCTAATAACATTATCTAGTATTTCTACCTGTTCTCATCTATTTTAGTTGCCAAAGGAGATTAAAGTCCATGTTTTTAAAGTTTCCTGTTTTATAGTCATTCTGCTTAATTAATTAGTTAATTAATTTATTTTATGATTTTAAGAGTATATTTATTAAAGCTGGGGACAGTGAAACAAGGAAGTGCCTAAGAAGCAGCAACAGGAGAGAGCCTGGGCAGGGCTGCTTTGGCTCTCTAGAGACGTTATGGGAAAGAAGGGAGCCAATGTGGGGCTGCTGTCATGTCAGTACACTGGAAAGTCA